AGAAATGAGAGTACATTCCCTACAATATGTCTAATTAAATTATATTACAGTGTTTGTTTTATAACAAATTATTATAATTTAAAATTGCAATGCAATCACATTACAGTTAAAGGATGTAATGTAATTATAGTCCAAAATTAATGTAATCACATTATATTGCACTTTTTAATATAATTAAAGATATTTTTACCTTTCAACTTTATTACTTTGTTAAAAATATTTTCTAATATTATAATTAAATAAAAAATATTAAAATAAAATATATAATATAAGAATTAGAAATTAAAATGAAATAAAATATAAGAAATTAAAATTTATATAATATAGGTAAAAGAAATTAAAATAAAGTACATAATATAAAATATTATATTAAAAAATAAAAACAAAATATAGAAGATTATAATAAGAGATGAAAATAAAATATATGACATTAAAAATATATTTAAGAGATGATATTATATAAAAATTAATAATATAAAATATAAGTATATTAAATTTATATTTTAATAAATAAGGGTACTTTTAAAAATTAATATTACATTCTCAGTAAAATATTATCTTGTCAACCACTGCTTAGATTTTTTTTTTGACACATATCCATTAATTTGTAATTGAGTCACTCAATAAATTAACATAATAATTACTAAATAAATACGTGTCATATTTGTAAAATTGCTTGCTTGTGTGAGAAATTATATAAAAAAGGTCCTTCCTAACAGTGCATGTCGGCTGTAAACCCTATAAATCAGGATGTGACACATAATTAAAAGTTGCATGAATATATTTCTTAATAATAATTGTCACACATAAATGAAAAGTGTGAATTAATAAGCATATGTGGCAACTTTTAATTAACATGTAACATCTTAATTTGTCGACTTTGTGATTGATGGGGTAGGAAGAATCCTTTAATAATTTCTTCGTTGTCGGAATTTAAAAATATCAGGACAATGGCAAAATAATGCCATTGGATTTTTATCTCTTACAGAAAGAAATTGAAAAGATCACCTATAATTTGATATCCCTTCAATTGTTATTGTATTTGATTTGACCATTATAAGTTTCAACACCAGAAATAATCGCAAAAGTACTATAAATCATATCTAGTTTGGTATGATATTAGGTTTTGTTATTAAAAAACTAAATTAGTATAAAACCCAATTAAATTAATATTACCATTAATCTAAATCATTGTATAAAATAAAAAAAAATAAACATTTAATATGTAGGCACGAATGAGTAATTTTTAAAAAAATTTAATATAAGATATTGAGTAATTGAATCAAATCAAACTGAAAATTAAAAGCTGTTTTCATTCATTCCCTTTCGTTTTATTTTATTTATACCCACAACAAAAAAATTAAACCTTTCTAGCACATGCATTGTGTCCAATAGCAAGAGATGAAAAATGGAAGGGTATTTTTCCTGAGGAAGAAAACTATCTTTGATGTCATATTGGTTTCCGATCCAACCATCGTTTATAGAAGTCTAATGCTTCCTTTGGCTTGTATTCAGGGACCGTATGTCCTGCACCCTGCACCAAGGAATTGTTTTGTAATAGCTGAATTTCAGAATTTTATATTCAGAAACAATAGAATTGCTGACAAATCATACTAGAGATTGATTGTCTGCAAGAAGAAAGCCTCAGCCATTAGAACTTGGGTATGTATTTTGAAAGTCTCGAGTTTGGATTTTGAAATAATCCGATAAGATTTATAGGAGGAGAAAGAACTACCAAATGAAAGGATAGAGATTGATTGTCAAACCTTGATAGTTAGAAAGGTGATGTTATGGTCATATCCTTGCAAGTACCTGCAGCAGTGAACCCATTGTATGAATATGATTTTATTCAGTCACCGACAGATCTGAAAGGCTACTTACCCAGCAACTTGGCCATTAGAAAACCATGATCTCCATTGAATTGTTGTCTTATATCCAAGTGACTTTGTCCAGGCTTGGCTCCCAGTGTATGGCACACACATGTCATGGTCTCCACTGAATGTACAAAGTAAAAAGAAAGAAAAAACACAACCCAGCTAGTTCGTTCAAAATGCTACTTAGAACAGAAGCAAACAGAAAGCCTTGTTGACATCTAAATAGTGCACACTAGCATAATTAAAATACCTGAAAATAAGTGCGCGATAACCATCAGATGTAAGGGTTTTATGGTAAGGAATCATACTTCCAGCATCATGATCATAGCTAATTCTGTCTGTACATAACTCCCACGGACCAGCTACATTTTCCTATTCATTAATTAATATATGAGATTATGAAATATGAAATAGGGTAAGTAATCTCAAGTATAGACATAGGATGGGGCAGATTTATTTACTGGTTCTGCATGAATTGCCTTCCTAACTGCTGCATCGTTTAGCCATGCTGTTGCAACTTCATCGTTCTGTCAGTACATAAGGTAGCAAAACTTCATCGTTTAAAGGTGTATGAATCATAAACGACAACTAATTAAGAAGGGACCTTGTTGAGACAAATTACGTTAACATCATTATATTTAGAGAAATATAATGTCACTGTTTCAAACAAATGATTAAAATAACTTACAGTACATGCTACTTGCAGCTTGTTTGCTGCTAGTTCAGGCCATAAAGGGACAATGCCATCCTTAACTGGTGCCCGAAAAGGCCAAGCACGACCAAACATCCTCGTTCTCACTGCAAGAGGCCTCTCTGTAGCTCCTAATTTCTGGAAGCTAACTGGCAAGCTTGTGTTTCCTTTTGAGTCTTGTTGTCCAATCGGGTCATGATAGCAAGGTTCAAGAATGTCATAAATATTTAGGCCGGCAATTGCCTAAAGTGTTGACATCCAATTAGAAATGACTAAGGGACATTCTTTCAAAAATCCAACTTGAAATTGGTCTGTATCTCACCTTGTAAACCTTTTCAAGATTTTCATCACAACTTTTAGTTGGCTTAGAATAGTTGCTTCCACAAGCGGCTACAACTTCCTGCATCACAACAATTGTGCATTAACTCGAGTAAATTTTTAAGATTCAGCGGCCTTAAATCTTCTACAAGATTTGATAACATCACCAAATACATTACGCAAGATGGTTATTGCTCAAAATCAAAGTGCTAATTGTTTAAAGAAAAATAACATCTGAGCTTGACCAGTGGACAAGTATTGATGTACTGGATAAGTAAAGTTGCTGTCCTTAAGGGATCGACGAGGGAGGGTAAAACAAGTGTTGAAAGTTGGTTGAGATTTGTTAAAACAAAACCCAAATTTCTTGATTAGGCTGGCCAAACATCTATTAGCAGGATTAATATATATATATATATATATATATGCAAGTGTTCCAATTACTTCCACCTACCTCAAAGATGTCGTCTGAAATTAGGGCCATCCCATGTGCAAATGGGACGAGAGCATTCTCATCAAAAACAGAGCCTGTCACCCCATTTCCCACCATGTAACCCTGCATTTGGAAATTTCTGAATTCTAAATTGTTTGTTCAAAAGTTAATCTTTTTCCTAGAGACTGGCTGTCAAGATGGCATATAAAATATACCTCGAAATTGATTCTGGGCTTTGCACCAGCATTGATTCCTAAAGTACAAGCAGAAGGTAAAAAATTAGCATAGTAACAACTCCAACATAGGTCAACATGGAAGGTAATAGTATATTATCAGCAGGAAATACCTTTCACCACTTCAGAAGCAAGAGTGGGCACATAAATTCCTGCATAAGACTCTCCTGCGATATAAAATGGATTGCCAACAAACTCCGGATAGAGAGCGAACCACTACTCCAAAGAGAACAAGTTAGTTTAACAAACTTAATTTTTCATTAACCTTGGCACATTTCTTTAACTTGATAGATGTATGGCAGCATCAAATGGTAGATGAGGACTTATGGCTTTAATCCTTCCCCACATTTTGTATTGCTAAAAATTTATCAATATTCTAAACCATATGGGGGAAAAAAGAAATACTATCTAGTTATATGAATCATCCTTGAACATAAATACCTTGAGGAGGAAGGCCTGTGTATCAGCTGCAGTCTGCCGGTCTCCTGTTATGTATGTGCTTGTATTTTTAGAGTAAGAGAAGCCCACACCAACTGGAGAATCCAAGTAAATAATATTTGAAACCTGGAAAATGCTAAAGATGATTAACAAAACCATGCATCCACTAGAGAAAGCTGAGATAAAAGAAAAAAGCTCATATAAGGGGGAAATTAATTAATAGCACAATGAATGTCCAGTTCATGGGGAAAAGTTTGTAGAATTAACACGTATTGGTTTTGAACATCAAAGTTACTACGATTAAAAACTTTGGTTTAAGGAGAAAATATATGATGCAAAAGTAATTAAGTTTACTTTAAAGGGTATGCCATGCTGTGCCTGACCTTAGACCAACTGTATGGATTGAGATGAAGTGTGGGCAGGCTTCCTTCGGGTTTTCCCTCTTGAAAATTAAAAGGACCTGCATATATATATATATATATATATATATATATTTCAATGAAACATCCTCTTCTCAATGAGTATGGTTAGAAGAAAAGAAATCTTATATTATGAAATTATGTATTGTTACAAAAGTGAATAAAATATATACATACAAAGCCAATTTTAGTCATAGTCTAACTCTAACCAATTACCTTAGACTTCTTCATATGTTTTTTTTAAAAAAAGAATACACTAGTGAATATATACTGAACTCTCTTAATAGCCACTGAATATGAAAATAGTGTAGTCAAAAGCTAAACAATCTCACTTTTTAAGTTTTTACTACATAAAGATCAAATGTAAAAATAATATCTAAAACTCAAAAATTTTGTAGTGACATGCATCAAATTAAAACTTTGCTGCCTATGCAAGCAAAGGGTCCTATTGATAATTCACAAAAGAGAAGCATATATATATAAGTATCAAAATTGCTTAAATTAAGTTCTACTCAAAATTCACCAAATTCAAACAATGTGTAGTTCTCCATTAGTATATAAACTCAAAGTGCAGCTTACTTAAAAGTGTTAACAAGCTGCCTTCGAATTGAGATGGGGAAACTATATTTTGTCATATTGTGGTAGGTGACTAGGTGCAGTGTCAAAAATCATAAACAAACAAACCGAAGTCCTCTTGCTCTCAAGGCTCAGCTGCCAGCCTAATGCAGATGGAATAGATGGATTCTAAAGCATTAATTGATCGAGAGCAGTCTTTTCAAAATTTGAGGAATTAATGCGGTAAGTCACTGAGCTTTCTCTATATACATACACACTGAACAGCAAATAACCAGCTGTCGCTGATAAAAGAAAATTTCACCAGACATGTATAAACCAAGAACAACTGAAAGGTCACATTTGCGTATCTATATAAAATTGTGGTTACCCTTTTTCCTCCTATCTTCATTTCTTATCTCAAAGTTATACTATAACCAATTAATTTCTAAAACTAAGGAAAACAAATATGTCATGCAAAGGTACTAACTAGTTTAACTGATATAGCTGATTATATATATATATATATATATATATGTGTGTGTGTGTGTGTGTGTGTATCAAGAATAGAGTAAATAACATAATTGGTTTGTGAAATTCTCATTATTTTTTAAATTTATTTAAATTTTATAATATAAACAAAATTTATCACATGTATATACACTTAAGTTTAACGAGGTTAATTTATTGTATTTAGAACGGACATAGATAAATTTGAAAAAAAATTTAAAAGATTGTAAATGAAAATGAGATGTTGCCAAAAGATTTGGTACTAGTGATGCAATTTATCCCAAAAATATTAGATAAAGAAGAGTATGTAGAGCATTATACAGTTTTTTCTTTTGGCGTACCGCGTACTTACTGGAGGGCTGACTGATGAGTTCAGTTAATATGGGAAACAAAGTCAAGTCCTAGCTATTGTAAATGTAGCCTAGGTATTAAATAAAAGAACAAGTGGTCTACGAGTGAGTACCATGTTCATAAACAAATCCATCAAAGCTAGAGCATCCTGGTCCACCATTCAACCACAAAACAACTGGATCCTTGGAAGGGTTTCTTTCTGAAACGACGAAGTAGTAGAAGAGATTCTTCTCATCTACCTTCACATATCTGCAGATTCAATCCCTTCATTTTTTATTCAGAAACTCATAGAAAACGATATACTAGCAGAAAACCTGAGAGGGTCTACTTTCTATCAATGCACATGCTCTGACTTCGATCACTTAGCCATATACAGAGAGAGAGAGATAAACAGAAATTAAGATAAGAAAAGATTTGTTACCCTGAGTAGTGTTTGGATGGGAAAACACCATTGAAGCCTGGTAGTTGAGTTACGAGTGAGCCATTTTGAACAGCTTCAATGAATGCACAACTGAAAAGCATGCAAAATGATATGACAAAAAGCATCTTATCCATGTCGACCCCGATGCTAAAAAGCCCTGAAAACCTCCTTTTTATTATCAATAAGAGAATTATGAATAAATATACTATGATTGAACCTCAAACATAAGACTATAAGAGAGAGACAGGGAGAGAGAGAAAAACAAAATAAAAAAAAAAAGAGAGAAAGAAGTGTTTATCAAAGTGCTTAGTGATTGGCAAAAAAGGCCAGGAAGAAAATGGAGAAATGAATTCACTGATAGGGAAACGAAAGGAGCTTTGTCTTTGGAATATTAAATGGAAAGGCAAACAAGAAGGGGTTGGCACTCGGACGAGGAGAGGAAATATAATGGTAGAAAAAGGAAGGGATAACTGTGTCTAAATCAAAGGAGAGAAACCTTTTTGGCCAATCCCTTTCCACCAATCATAACCTTCCAATATAGCTAGCTAATTATAACATTTATTTGGGGCTAATGCACAGAAGGTAAGGATCTTGACTTGTTTGGAATTTTAGTAGAAAAAATTCGATATTTTCCATATATTTTGTTTTTAGCATGTAGGGAAATTGGATATTTATTTCGTGCCTTGGGCTGCATTTTCTTGTGAACAAATGAAATCCATCAAGAAAGACAAAAGAAGGGGATTTTAACTGGCAATAAGGGGGAGTCAATGGCAGAGGCAATCAAAGGCAAATGATGAGGGGGAGGGGCGTGAATTCCAAGGAGGTTCATAGCGGGGTCCACTTCTTTCTTTCCTTGTTTTTTAAATTTATTTATTTTTTTTCCACTTTTTGAGTTCCTCAACCTCCATTTTGGTTTTTTCTGCCTTTTCTGGAGTTGGGGAATTGGGATAATTTCAAGTGCTTTGGAGACCACTGAAACTTGGACTGCTCCAACTAGTAGACTGCATCTCTCATTATATAACTTTATCATCTTTCAGATTAATACCACATAAGTTTAATGGATTAAGTTTGCTTTTATGTCCCGTTTTTATAAGTATAATATTTTAAAAAAATTATTTTTTAAGAATTTCAATAACTTCCACCAACGTTGCTAGTAGCCCTCGAAACTTAAGATCTCTAAAATCTCAAGAAAGATGATAAGTGCATTTAAAAAATTTTATTATTTGTTACGTTTAATTAAATTTTTTTTATTTTATATTAAATAAAAAATAAATTTTTTAATTAATTTTTAAGTTAATTACATGGTCACGTTGACAACTAAATAACCGTGTTTTAAAATATAAGAAAAAGTGTTAAGAAATTAAAAAATTTTATTTTCAGTGTTTATTTACTAATGGAGTGAATGGTGCTAATGACTCTTTATCTATATAAAATTTACAAGATAAAAGATAATGCTTAAGAATTTAATTTGGATGGATAATATTTATATTAAATTTTAATATTAATTCAATCTAATCAACATCTAAATTTATATATATAATTAAATATAAAAATTCAAGTCAAATTACACTCCTATATTTGACTTGTTGGACTACTGTTTGGTTTGACTAATTAACTTGATTTGAACTTTTGGGCAATGATATTCACACATTTATTCATTACAAATTATTAGTTATAAAAATTTATTTAGTATAAAATAAAAATTTAAGAACTTGATTGAATACAACAAAAGGATACAAATTTATCTAAAATTTTTTTAATAGTTCATGAGTTTTTTAAGTATTATGTCTTGTTTTTTTATATATTTTGAGAATTTTAAAATTTTACAAACTCAAATGTGATGAATTTAAAAATTTATTTCCATTCATAAAAAAAAAATTGCTCAATTAATTTTAAATTGAATGTTTACTTTTCAAATGGTGCCAATTAAATTTTAAAAATATGTATTTTGTTCTTTAGCTCGCAAGCTTTTATCCTTAAAAGAATTCAAACTTGAAAAAAATAAATAAATTGAAGGCCCATTCAATTAAATTTTAGAGTCCACACATAAAGTTAATATGTCAATGAAATCACACTTGAAAAAATATTTTTCATTTTAAAAAATGTAGATAGAGAGAGTGTTGAAGGCCCATTCATGTCTGACCAATCCAAATTCACTGAAATAAACTTGCACTTCCAATTTGATTTAAAATTAAATTGGTTTTGCTTTTTTTAAAAAAATATTAAGTATAATTAAAAATTATTGCAAACTATATATATATATATGTGGAGCTTACTTTTATTTTTACTAATATTTATTCTCACGTGCAACTTATTATTATTTTTATTCATTTTTAAATTTAAATTATATACAAAATACAAATGTATTAAAAATATAAAGTTAATTGTTTATAAAAAATCATAAGTAAACGATAATTATATAAAAATGATAATTAATGTTTCAGTTGTATATAATTGAAATTTTATAATGTTAATTTAAAAGTTTTATTTAATAAAATTAAAATTCAATACAAATAAATTCTTATAAATCTTATTAATATTTACAAAACAATCTAAACTTGAACTGAATATGAAATTCAGATTACCCAACAGTTCGGACTAATGGAGCGGGTCAATTGGGTCAGGATTTCAAGGTTTGAATCCAAGCAAGCATAGTACAATATAAGTTGGCCCGACCCCCGGTTTGAAATGGAGCGGGTCAATGGGGTAGAACTTGGAAGTTAATTGGAGCGTCGTGCAACCGCCAAGCAGCTGAAGGAGAATCGGAGCTTTGCATTTGTTTGGTGACGATGATGAGGGTTTGGAGAAGCGCTTCTCTTTCTTCGTCTTCTTCTTCTTCTTCTTCTTTTCCCTTTGTTCCTCTTCAACACTTGGAATTGGGTAACCTCAAATCTGCCTGTTCTCTTCCCTTCTTGTTGTTGAATTCTCTTGCTGTTTTAAATAAGAAAAGGGCTCTCCGTTATTTCCACAACTCTTATTTCTCTACTACCCATTGGAAGAAATCCCAGTATGTGTTTCATAAAATTGATGATGCCTTAAACAAGTATGATCAGATGGTCGATACGCATCCACGTCCTTCTCTTGTGGAATTTAGACGATTAGTAGCGGCCATTGTTAGAATGAAGCATTACCCTCCTGCCGTTTCTCACATTAGACAAATGGAATTACTAGGAATTCATCCTAATGAATACACTCTCAACATCTCGCTTAATTGTTTTTTACCGCATGCATCGAATGGATTTCGCGTTTTCTGTTGTAGGGAAAATGTTGAAGTTAGGTCTTCAACCAAGTATCGTAACATCCTCCACTTTGATCAATGGACTCTGCATTGTAGGTGAAGTAGCTCAAGCTGTGAGGTTGTTTGATGACATGGTTAGGGAAGGATATAAGCCTAATTTAATCACTTACAATGCCTTAGTGAATGGTCTTTGTAAAATAAGTGACACTAATGGGGATATTAGAATGCTATAGATTATGGAAGAAAGAGGCTGTTCGCCTCATATTGACAGCCTTTGTAAAGACAAGCGTGCAACCGAGGCCTTGAAGCTTTTCTCGGAAATGAGAGGTCAAGGCATTCCACCAACTGTTGTCACTTATACTTCCTTAATTCATGCTATGTGTACTTCATGTCAGTGGAAGGAGGTTACAAGATTATTGAATGAAATGGTGGCCAACAATTGCAAACCAAATGTCTGTCACATATAACATTTTGGCTGATGCGCTTTGTAAAGAGGGCAGGGCATTAGAGGCTCAAGATATTGTTGAAGAAATGATTCAAAAAGGTGTTAAGGCTGATATAGTTACATATAAGTGGTTTTTAATATTTTATAATGTAATGTGATTACAAGTAATATGATTGTAGGAAAAATAACATTACAGTGTTTGATATGCAAGCAAAATAATAATTAAAATGTAGAAAAAATAATATTGCAGCATTTGATTTACAAGTACTTTATTAGGAATGTAATGTTAATTTTTAAAATTACGCTTAGTTATTAAAATACAAGTTTAATATATTTATATTTTTTATTATTAATTTTTATATAATATTATTTCTTAAATATATATTTTTAATGTTATATATTTTATTTTTATTTATTATTATAATCTTATATATTTTATTTTTATTTTATAATATATTTTTTATATTATATATTTTATTTTAATTTATTTTACTTATATTATATAAATTTTAATTTTTATATTTTATTTTATTTTATTTTTTGATTTTTATATTATATATTTTATTTTAATTATAATAGTATAAAATATTTTTAATAAGGTAATAAAATATTCATTGATGGATGGATACTGTTTCCAAGGTGAAATGGATGAGGCTAGAAAACTTCTGAATTTTCTGGTTACGAGTGGTTGTGCTCCGAATGCTATTATCTACAACATCGTGGTCAATGGATATTGTAAAGCTAGAAGGATAAATGAGGCAATGGAACTTTTTCGTGAAATGACTCAAAATGGGTCAATCCCTTACAATGCTCGTGGTGGTATGTTAATGTCACTGATAGGGAGACTTTCGGCCGCACAAGATCTTTGCAAAGAAATGAGTGCTTATGGCTTAGTACCAAACATGTTGACTTACTCCGCCTTGTTAGACGGCCTATGCAAGCATGGTCATATTAATGATGCATTGGGACTTTTTCATGTAATGCAGAACAGTGGATTGGAACCTGACATTGTCCACTATAGTATCTTAATTATTGGCTTGTGTCAAGTTGGGCAACTCAAAGTTGCAAGAAAATTATTTTGTGCACTCAACACTCAAAAGGATTACACCCTAATGTCTACACTTACAATATAATGATCAAATGGCTTTGTAAGGAAAGGCTACCAAATGAAGCATATGAGCTGCTTAGGAAAATGGAGGTGGATGGTTGCATGCCTAATAGTTGCTCCTATAATACAATGATCAAAGGATTTCTCGAAAACAATGATGTATCTAGGGCATCAGAAATTCCACATGAAATGGTACACAAAGGATTTTCTGCAGATGTGTCCACAGCAGCCACGGTAGTGGAACGATTGATTAGTGATTCAACTGGTGAATCTTTTTGTGCTCTAGTTCAGAAACGGTGAAGGCTATCAAAATGTTAATACTAGTGATTTTTTTCTCAGCCAACATCAGTGCAATAAAGGCAAATAAGTTTTATAACCTCTAAGCTGTGACTGATTCTATCCTTATAAATTGAGGAAGAAGGCAGAATTTTACTCATTGATTATGCATTGTGCAGCCTGCAGGTACTCTTATTAAATTGAGGAAAAAGGCTGATTTGGCGTTATGCAGTCTGCAGTGGAGCTCTACATCTCTGTCCGAAGCAGGTATTATGGCTCTTGCTGTAATTGTTTTGTTATATCATCTGCAAAGAATGCAATGCAAGCATGAAAGACATACAGCCAGGTTTGAGATATTCGAATCTGCGAGTGTTTGTTATGCATCTGGATAATTCACCAAGTTAATTCTACTATAGCCTTCTTGAGGCTCAAATCAAAAGTCTTTTCTTGTAAATCCAACAAGCTTATAGTGGCCTAAAGGTGCTTTATAAGTGCATCAATAGCCATTCTTCCTGGGTCTGTTGCACTGTTTTGCATGCATTTACTGATTTTCAGAATTTGGGTTGAATGGTAGAATTTATCAACCAGAGTTTGCAATTAGCTGGGCAAAAATGGTATGTTTTACTCACTTACCTAAAAAGGGAAGTAAGAAAAAGGAGAGGATGAGATGTATTTATGTGACTGCATTGCGCATGTGCACACTTATACACTCTTTAACCTTCCATCCTCCTTGCTTTCATAGTAATCATGTTTATGCTTATATTAACATGTGTCATGTAAGCATGTTAGAATTACTAAACATAGTAACATGGCACTTTCTTCTTTAGTTTTAGTATATTTTCCTTTGAACCTAATTTAATAAATAACTTTTTTGTTACAACGAAAAGAAAAATCAATAAAGGAAAGGAGTTAAAACTTTCTTTGCATCTTCATACACACTTTGTCTCATCATGCCCTTCCTTAACCGTGTCACTCCTGATGAACAACACTAACGACGATTACAGAAATACAATTATTGGAAAGATTGGATTCAAATAGTTAAAACAAGTATGGATAATATGGGGAAATAATATGAAAATCTTATAGAGTAAAAGTTTTCAACATTAGTAAGTAGTTTATGGCTTCCTCTTTTAGTTGGAACGGTCGAGTCTCTAGACCCGCAACGACAGCTACAATACTCTTGACAAATATAGGAAATAAATTTGATTATCAATTGCAACAGCTTATATTCAGTTCTGCCATAGAAACAATGAGGCACTCCTAAGCACATTCATTATCTAATGTCTTGAATCCTTCAAATAAATGAGCAAGAGAGTAAGCAATTAACAGGGAAAGTTAAGCTCACTCTGAATGCTGTTCCAGATTTTTAATTGAACATCGTTAATATATTCTATAATCAGTATCTATTGGTATGACAATATAAAAAACTGATAATTACAATGATAGGTTCAAATAATGAATGAGGATTGTAGGAAGATGAGTATTACAAGGTTGTTCTCAGGAACTGTACCACAAAATAGAGAACTGCCAGAAACAAAGCAATTTGGTACACATCTCTTTGGAATCCATCGTCCCTTTGAAAGAACTGACATCAGAAAATGATAATGCAGCATGTTAATAAGAAGGTAAGAGAATGAATGTATGCATGACTAAATGCTCAAAGATCTTAAAATTGGAAACATTTATCTAAATTGCAATCAAGAATCTCTGAAAAGACTTTTTGCACCCGCTGAACAAGGTTACTATCTTATATACTATATGTGTAAAAGATAGTGAGAAAAGTTCTACACAGTTGAATGCAGCTTAATAATTTAAGGAAAACATCACGTTATTTTTTGTCATTTGTAAAGAAAAATCAAGATGGAAGCTGTAGGTAGCCTTTACTGCAAGAACTCACCTTAGTTGGATCACCAGAAGGGTCTGGATAAACCTCCAAGTTCTCTTGCTTGGAAGAAAAACGAGTTGACAAGTCCTTGGCTCCATCTGCCAAGTCCTTCCCTGCCTCAATTGTAGCAAAGAGATGACGAGATGTCCAGAAAAATGCCTGAGCAATGACTGATGAAGAGGATAAATCCCAGAACTCTTCATGCTCAATCACCTGGCCACTAATCTGGTTCAATGTGAATTGTGAATTGACTCTTATTATCAGATCTCCACCTATGCTAGCAAGAAAAGATTTAGGCTTTCCTTGTATTGTCCATTTGATGCTGAGTACACTGGTTGATAGCATCACCATTTCTTGCACTTTCTGCAGTAGTAGGACAACAACAATAAAAAAAAAATGGATGAAATCAGTGCAAATAACATAGTTACTGATGGCATGTTAGGATAAAACAGCTCAAAAGCATAAAAAGGAATAAATAAGCAACCAACGGAATTAAACTTCAGACTCGCTTCTAGCCAATGATCACTTAAAATGATCAACTTGAAGTTGAAGGCAGTGTGTATGCTATAAATGCATCAGGCAAAGCTATCAAACTACAAGTCACTGCATTAACACGACAAGTACAGCCACAAAGTTATGAGAGAAAGGGAGAGGCAGTGCTGCAGTGTACAGGTGGTCATGCTATGATACTAAGAAAACTCACTAATTCTATCAAGGACTAAAACAAATCAGTTTATATAAACCTTACCACAGAGGGGTTTTCCAGAGCACCAGTTATCCAAAGTGGTCTCTTGTACTTGTCACGACCAGTAAAACTTCTGACTGGATCCTGCATTACAATTGTGTCATGTATAAACTTAGATATTATTGGCCTCACTATTAACATATTGACAAGAAACACCATCTTCATATCTCATTGCTGGCTAGCACTTAAGGTCTTTTTCTTTTTTTCTTTTTTTTTTATCAGAAAGTAAAGTTGATTTTTTGCTGGTTTGGTAAGGCCAGGTCCCAAAGTAGACTTTATGGAAATTTGAAGCGGATAATGATTTCCAAATAACCATAGCTATGACCAATTACTATGCTTCTTCTTAAGTTTCAAAGATAAGCCATAATCGTGTTTACATAAAAGGTAAAAGAAACTCAATAGACAACAGATGAAAGAGATAAGTGATGGCAAAGAGGGGGATTTTCATTGAATATTCAAGAAATGTTTCAATGAAAAGGAAAATAAAAGAGCATTAATCACTTTTTGGTTAAACCTTTATCCCCATCCCCCTCTCTTCCAGAAAGAATGTAAAAAGGGTTTTGAACCAAATGTAAGTCCTGATCTTCCAAAGAGAAAATAAACCCAAAAAAAGGTCCTGCACCTAATGATAGTTGGGATTAAGTATTCCATTCAGAAAAAGGAGCAGCTGTAGTAAAACGTTTAAGCTAGAATCTTCAGAAGATCAAGTTATGCAGTGAATTCTGCAAAGAGGTCACATAAGCACCTTGTATTTGACAGATACTGCATATGTTCCTAGTGCACGATTGCCTTCTCTTAGCTCTAGAATATCACGTACTAGTTGTCTTGCTGTTGATTCCACCAAGGGGCTACTAATGCATTCAAACTCGTCACAAAGCTCACCAAAGTCCATCCCATCAACTATCTTATCACCTTCTGTTCTCTCAATGGTAGAATCAGCAGATACTTCAGTCCTGCTTGACTCATTCATAACTGCAAGACATCAGAATCAATCTGGTCATGTTTTATTACATAAAAACAGCTTAAATTGCAGATAAGACATTGACATAAGGCGTTACTTGTGACAAGAACCTTAAAGAATCATTTTTAGTGTATGAGAATATTAGGTTTAGCAATATTGCAACTGTTGCTCCCTGAATTGATACGGCAAAGTCCCAATGGGCAGGGGTTGAATAAGCATGGTAATCAATGCTTAGATCTTATGCGCAGAATATTTTTGTTTAAAGCAAGTTAGATTTTATAGTAACCTATGACTGAATGAATAACCAAGAAGATGAAAAAGAAAATAGAAGGTAAACATAAAAGAGAGTCCCAATTGGAAACTCCCTGACATCTTGGGTGGCTGAGAAAAGATACTGTTTTTCTGAAATGAATGGCTGCAAGTGAGTTGGATAAGCCGGTGGTACCAGTAAAGGATACATAGTTTGAAATTAAGATCATAAGCTCAGATATGAAGGGCAAAAGAAGAGTTTCCAATCTGGGAAAGGTAAGCTATATTACAAACTTGAGCACCAAAAGATTGTAGGCTTAATCTTTAGGTTACTCAACATAAATAAGGTTTGACAGTAAAACAAAGATAGAACAGCAGGGTCCAAGCACAAAGGATGAAAATGTTTCCTACAGTATGACAAAGGAATTTGTACAAGGAAATCCTGTTAAGGCTTAGTTTCAATTCAAGTGGACCGACTCAACCATCTGCTTTCTCTAAGCATACCAATCAATTTACCAACTCCTAAAAGGGTAAGAATTTCATTTATATTTAATGAAAAACATACTGAAAGGCCAGGCTCATTATTGATTAACTATGATCCTCAATCAACATTGATCACATCATATGGCAATGGACAAGTCTTCTGCCAGCCAATCTGTGATTGAAGCTCCTCCAGACTCTGACATAAATAATGCTTATTTCCGCAATCTGACGGACCACAAGTAAGCTTCCATAGTACAAGCACTTCCTGGCTATTTTACTAGCAAATCAACTATCAGCCAGCCTAGTAAAAGCCTAGAAGTTGGTAGCCATGCAATGTGCATGCTATTACATTTGGAGATGAAACAGAACAGGTTGCAGAATAACCTAAAAGCAAGTGTTTCAAGCATAGCATTTTTAAAATATCCATTATGCAGTTCAAAGAACTGTCTCCAGCAGACACAGAAAATACATTAACTCATCACAGTACTAAAGAATTCTGCACAGCACAGCACATACTTGATTAAAAATCAAACAAGCAATGGTCCTAAACTAACATTGACCAAAATCAAAGCAATGGTCTAATCCACCTAGTGTCAATCGGTTGTGTAAGAAAAAAGATCTTAGGAAACATATGAATTTGCAAATTTATTGTTGCATTCATCACAAATCCATGATGTCTATCTGCAAAAATGATTTTTGTTCATTATGCCAATTCTGTAATATTGAATCTATGTTAACTGAATATAGATAGAAATGTATAGATTTGTACATATCCATAAATGACATAAACTCACTTAAACACATGAAGGGTGTGTGCATACTGTCAAATTTTATGGACAATTCAACTTAAAAAACCAATTAGACATAGGCAAACTTACTGCATCCACTACATATCAGTTGCTTCCAAAGCAAATGAATACCACAGAGCAGTTTAAGGATATTTCAATGGGCAACCACACCTCTCTCGGGAAGAAAAGGTTATAATCTAGATCTTTCACAGCTTTATAAATATGCATCCGAGTTGCAAATTCAAGTGGTAATAGCCCTTCAGTGGTTATTTATCAATCTCATTCAACTGTTTCTATTCTTCGTATTTCCCTTTTAGTAGTTCTGTTCTTTCATTCTGATGACATTAGAAACAAACAGAAAACAAACAAAACAAGCAGATAAAAAGAGCACGTAAAATGTAAAAACACGGTACCTCTGAGAAGAAAAGGGTGGTGTTGGTGATGATGAGAGTGGGATTGAGAGGGGTGTACGCGGCCTTTAAGTTGCTTGGAAGAGAAAAGGCATTTGCCATTGCTGATGCTGCGGTGAATCCAGGCAGAGGCAGACGCAGTGGCCGCCAGAGCAGAGGAAACGGAAGCACCACTCATGTTTCTCTCTTTCCATTCTGTAGCAAAGCGCGTGGCCTTGCTTTCTTCAATACTTGTTTTACACTGTCTGTCTCTTGGCCTTTGTTTTTGTGACTTCAGTTTTTTCGTTTTAGTTTCTTCGGATAAGGTTTGTGTGTGTGATGATATTTTCTGTTCGTTTTTTGTCGTTTTGAGTTTAGCCACGTCCACTTGTTTCTAGTGGTCGTTAAGTCTGAGTAGGACCTATTCCGATTCTGTAGGTTTCTAGAGTTGCCAACCAGACCTTAAATTTTCACTGGGAAGGATTTATTGGGTCTGGAGTTAGATAACAAAGCATTACTCCCTTTGGAACTCCAGGCAGAATCTCTCATCTTCAACTCCAGGATGAAATAATGCTGTGTGATGATGGAGGAGGACTCAAACCGATAATGAACAATCAAACAGCTACCAGACTGCAAGAGCTACGTAGCTAGCAGCACAACCTTGGGTCTTGATAATGAATAATCATCTAGGATGCATGACAAGTATCCAGCACAACCTGGGAACAGGAATTGATTATAGTTGCCTGTATGGTTTGGAACTGGATTCCAAAGTAGCCTCATCTCGCAGGGAACCCAACCAAAAACTTGAAATTGTAGCCAGCCTTTATTTTCCTACCTACAGCACTTGGAATCCTCCAATCAAGTGGACAACCAATTGGACACAAAACACAGATATGTTCAAACATATGATAAAATCAATGAAAGAAGAAAATAGGGCATTTACATTCCAGAAAGGCATTCATGTTTGCTCTCATTTTATTTCCACTTGATCATTAAACCAAAAATGCTTGTGCTGTTGGTGACTATAGTCACACTCACACATGGCAAAATGCATATCTTTCTTTTGTTTCATGGCTCCTATTTACTCTTTTTAATATTACTATATATTACTCTTTTTTAGCTGTTGAAGGTTTTTTGTTTTAATCTTTTTCACATCAAAGCTTTTCCTCTGACAATTATATAAAATGTTGCAGTTACATGTGTTTACTTTTTTTAATATTAGAATTAGCGGTTGAAGTTTTTTATTTTAATCTTTTCCTTGGTTAATATATTTTATTAAAAAATATTATTAGGCTGTGATTAATTTCTCACTATGTAAATGGGTTATTATTAATATAAGGTTAGGGTTAGGGTTCTCTATATTTTTTAAATTTTGTGAAATATAAACTTTTGTCATTTCTACCTCAACACAATCCTTATCATCTTAACCAATTTACATCTTTTTGTAAATTAATAATTGTGATATTATTAGTTGAAACTAATTAATATTAATTGAACTATAGTGTAAACTTAATTTTTGTCAATTTTATCAATTATTTCTTTTAATAAATATTGGTAATATATTATTCAACAAGTGTTTAAATAAAAAAATTTGTTTTATACAAATGGATATTTAACGGGTTTAGATAGTTACCGTAGAATTTTTTACTATTAAAATTTAGTTTTGGATAATATTTTATAATTTTATGCAGATTTTAATTAAATTCAAATATACTAAAGGTTTAAGGTTGGGCACCTCAAAGTGAAAATTTTGTGTTCATTTTTCATATTCCTCTCTTCTTTTTTTTTTTAATTCTTTTCATCGAACGACGTAAAACGGTATCTGAACCTAATAATAAACCCTACGGTCTTTGTAAAACCCTCCTCCAGGACGCTCTTCCACCGAACATCTGATCCCAGGTTTTTGGATACAGTTTATCTTTATTTTTTCCGAGATGGATATGGATGGCAAGGAAGATTCCATGGAAGAGCTTAAGGGACTCCGAATTACTCCCCTTGACGATGACGACGACGATGATGAAGGAATTGCTGTAGATGACGACGAAGACGACGATGAAGAAGAAGAAGAAGAAGCTGTAATTCTTGGCTTTGTAGAAAAGCCTCAACACAGTTGGTCAGTTCTCCGTCAACAGTTTCCAAGCAAAGCCGGAGGCGTCCCAGTAAACATTTTGTTGCTTACCTCTATAATTGTTTTTTTGTTTTTTAATTTTGTATTTGAATAAAAGATATATGTTTTTGAGGAATTTTTATGATATTGTTAAGTTTTCATGTAGGCATGGTTGGATGCATATAATTTACCATCTGGAATGTCTTGTGCTTGTGATATATGTGGACAACCCCTGCAATTTGTACTTCAGGTATTTTTTTTTTTTTAATTTTATAGTGGAATGTAGCCGAGTCCAGCTAATACAATAATACTGCATCAGAATCGAGTTCTAGTTTAAAACTCAAATCAAAATTGAATAAATATCATTTTTTTTGTAATTTTAAATTTAAAAAAATGCTAAAGCTTGATTAGAGACTTATAGTCTGAGCCATTCATCTTGACTCATTACTTGAACTAGTTCTCATAAGTAGTTTGACTCAGTGACAACCTGTAATTATTTTCTTTTTACATGAGTTATTATTTGCTAGAGAGAGAGAGAGAGAGAAGGAGCAGAGGCGAATTTGATTTTGCT